TCATCTGTAATTGAAGCCCCTTTGAGAAAGGAATTCAGGAATTTGTGACTTGATTGAAAAATTAAGAGTAATCTATATTTTTGTTTTTTAAGATAGAATTCATTATACCTTTTTATCAATAATAAAAAAGTTCTGTTGCCGTTAAACTTGAACTCCTGCCATCTGTGCCTGTATTTGTCTTTGCAGTTGCCTTAGGGGACTTGATTTAAAAATTTCTAGTCTTTATAACATGAGGAAGCACTTCATAGTCTTTTCCTTAAAATTTTTGCACGTCTCGAGAACAGTATCAGTGTAACAACTTGAGAAATGCTTGAAATATGACAATTAATTTCCTTCTTTCCATGGATAGTGCCTCTTTTAAACTTCTTGAATATTTAGAATCAGAAGAATTGTTCCATAATTCGGTATCTGAGAGTAATATGGAGCTACACTGTGGTGAAATGCCTACACTGATATGCCCATACACTGTTTGGGCACCATAGTATTTCCAGACACTATTTTTTTGTGCAATCTGTTATATATTAATGATCATGAGGGCCTTGAGTATCAAAAACATGCCATACTGACTTCATCTAGTTATGATTTCAAAGGAGACTAGATTAGAAAAGTCTATCAGATCCTGTTAGACAACTAAACTAGATTTAAAAAGAAGAGGCTATCAGGTCCTACTACTGAAATAACTTTATGTGTAATAATAGCTTTATGTGAATGTTTTATATATGTATAATATATATTAGGTGAAGTAAATTCTTTATTAGTAAAGTAGTGAAGTAAAGTAGTTAAGTAGTAAAGTAGTCAAGAAGTGAAATAAATTATTTATTATTTATAATGATGTTACTATTAATTACATCACTAGTATATCATAACATTTTATACAGCTTGATTCTTTTCAAAAATGAAGTGTTTTCATGGGCATTGCCCTAATGAAAGTATTGCCTTAGGAGAGCAGTAATGTGGATAATGTTTTCCCACTCCTATCAGATTTCTCTTTGAGCCACAAAAATACCAAGTTGACATATCAGAAAATCAGTAACAGAAAACAGTTTCATTCATTCATTTAAATGGAAATGCCATATTGCTGAATGCCTCTGTTACTGGTATACAACTTGTCAAAGAGAAAAAGACCATTGGTTTATTCAAATGCAGCTTTTTATCTTAAAGTAAGAATGTGGAAACTCAAAATTACATTTAGTTAAATGAAATAGAAGCATGTTTTTATTTCTCCAGCACCTAATTCAGAACTTGACATGTATTCTCTGAAAGAATAAATGAATTGATTCTCAAAATTATGCAACCTGGCACCCCAGTGAGGTGTCCATTTTAAGCCTGGAAAGGCTTAGGATGTCCTATGGAGTTCTGCATCTTTTGAAGTCCTTTGGAGCTTAAAAAAGGAAAAAAACAAAACGAACAACAACAACAAAAACCAAATGTTCACAGACCACCTTGTCAGAGTAATCTGTGAAATACAGATTCGGACTTCTCATGCCCAGAGACACTGTTGATAGGTCTAGGATAAAGGCCACAAATTTTCACATCTCACCGTGTTCCATAATGAATTTGAGAATCACTTTTAAGGAAAGGAAGGTAAGAAAAGGAGAGCAAGAAGCTGATAGTTTCTTGACTTTCTTTTTTTCAGCTTTTTAGAGTATATATTTGCAGTACAAAATGACTACATTTCTTGAGGAGAGTTGGTATGTGAACATAACACATCTTAATTATTTTTCATCCTCTTCCCCTTCATTTTCTTCCTTCACCCTCCATCTCTTGGTCTTGTTACCTTTTTTAAAAGATGTATCATCTCCCCATTTCCTATTATCTATCCTTTATTTTGGTATTTATTTATGCTTTGAGTTTCTCATATATGAGAAATCATACAATATTTAAGCATATGTGTCTGATTTATTTCATTTAACAATATGGTCTCAAAGTATATCCATTTTCCTACAGTGACTCAAGTTTGTCCAACTCAAGTTTGTTCTTCTTTATGGCAGAGTAGTACTCCATTGTATATGAATACCACACTTTCTTTATCCATTCACCTCTTGTTGGACATACAAGCTTTGACATTCTACAAACGCTCATGCTTCCAGGGAACTTGTCAGAATTAAGGGTCAGATTAGGTAAGGGCTTGAAAATTCGATTTTTCCCCACGTGAAAGGAGCCTGGAGGCAGGCAGAAAAGTGCCCAAGTAGAGAGTTTAGGAAGTCATTAGCGATCCTGGATCCTGTTCCTGTGATCCAAGGTGGCTGCTAAACATTCATTCAGTGAATCCATCAGTGCTGGCTCCTCGATGGCTGGAAGGAAGAAGGAAAGGAGCAGAGATAAAAAAGCTCGCATTTTCAACAAAATCCCTAGAAATAACATATAGAGATTCTGTATTATTCTGGCAGTCCTTAGTCCTATGACCATATTTTGCTGCAAGGATCTCTAGAATGTTTTTTTTTTTTAACTGAACAGTGATGTGCTCAGTGAAACAAAAACAGAGAACAGAAAAAAGCAAAGAAAACTCAAGATTTTTTTTACTAAGAAGAGACTATCATAAGGCAATTGGTGGTCTCTGTCACAATCATTCATGCTAAAGCTACCCAAACAAATCCCCGAGTTTCTCTTACCTTTTGACAAGTAATTAGCCAATTTTCAAGGCTGTCATCACCACCCTGCTTGTTTACACGCAGTCCTACTTCTGCTCCCCAGAATTGGTGCAGAAAAGTCCTAAACTTACAGACAGAGCCAGTGCCATATACCTGTTAGCCCCTGTTGAATTTGTATCTTGAAAATGATGCATTGTGAACTTCTAATATGTTTATTCAAAAGGAGTTTTCACATACCAGTCTAATTGCATACTTTCTCCTCTTTGTTTTTACTTTATTAGAAATAAATCTGCTTTGGTTGCCTCCATGGCATGTTTTCATGTGCCTGAACCGCATCCCCTCTAGTTTTCAGTAGTGGTTGTGCCTCACGTGGGGACTGTGTCTGTTTCTTGCTGGGGGCAGTCTCTGAAAAAGAGAGTTTGTCAGGAGAAGAAATAGACTAATTTCCCTTTTTCTCTTACTTGTGCTTACACAGAATATCTCCATATTTTTATATTTTAAGAAGAGGTGTCTATGCTTCCTTTTTATGTGCTGATTGTTTAGTAACTACAGATAGTTTGGGTTCTACTATCTTGAATTTCTGTCTGAATTTGCAGATTTTACTCCTGGAGTTGGCTTCTCATGGTTCAGTCTCCTAGACTTTTCATTAGCATTATGTGTTTTAGATAGCATATTCTTAGAAATACTACTTTAATTCTTTCACCTTTCTTTTCCTTCCGCAGTGACTTTCTGTTCTGAAATGGTGAGCAAGCCTGTGGTTCTGCCTTCATTTTCAGTTTTTCTCTCTGCCCTTTTTTTTGTGAAATCTCGGCAGCCAGTCTACTCTTACTTTCAACTATTATCTCTGTATGGATGCTTCCGAGGTATCCACAAAGCATATTCACTAGTCATTCCTACATCATTCGGAAGTACGTCCTGAGTGCCTTAACTTAAATTCCTTTGTCATCTTAAAGACTATGTCTAAAACCTGTGATTTTAGTGTGGAAGTCCTCGATTTGTGTCCTTAGAGTCTTCTTAAAGACTCTATGTGGTACTAAACCACATGGGTAAGGATAGCAGTTCCAGTGAGCTGTTTTCTTTGTCTGGAAAACCCCTTTCTTCATTCTTTCCAGTTTCTTTCATCTACCATCAGGTTCAAAAATCTACATTTCATAAAGGTTTCTAGCATGATAGCACACCTTATTGACTTCTGAGACATGGAACTCCTATTGTTCTCATTGACCTGTTATCTTGCCCTCCTTACATACTCATAGAATAAATCATCTTTATTATAAATGCCTCATCTTACATATAGACAATAATCTTTTTGTACTCCCAGGGCCTGGTATATAATTGATAAAATATTGTATTCTATGGATTATGGCTTATCCTTTTCATTTCTTTATCTTGCTTCATTTCTAATACTGAGATTGCTTTTAAAACAATTAAAATGTTTCTTATCACCAAACATTTATTTTCCATAAAAGAAATGAAGAGTTCTTGGCAAGCTGAAGGACAGATTTTCAGTGGCCTGATTACATATTTGCTTTGTACTATTTATTTAAATTTCATTACAAAAGGCATGGAGTAGTTGTTGGAAACACAACATTTCTCCATGTCACTTAGTGTTTGGAGTGTTGTTTAAAAACCTGGAATAGGAAAGTGTTTTAAAAATCTAGTAGGATTTTGTGAAAATGTATAGTGTTTTACATTGGAGAGTTCGAGACCAGGGTAGGGATGGAGGGAGAGACAGCGATACTATCAATGAAGAAGAATGTGTGTGAAAATACAACCAGACCCACACCATTTGATAAATAATGTTAGGATGATATTGAACGAGCCAGATAGAAGGGTGGGTAGTAAGTGTATCAAACTGGTGGGAAAAGAAGTAGACCCAATTGTTTTTATGAGGACTTTTTTCTGGTACTGGAGATTAAACTCAGCCCTTTCTATTTTTATTTTTTTAAATTTTGGGACAGGGTATTGCTAAGTCACTAAATTGCCCAATCTGGACATGACTGTATGATCCTCCTGCCCCAGCCTTCCAGAGTGCTGGGATTATAGGCATGTACAACCATGTCCTGTTCATCAATATTTTTTTTGATAATGGGGATCGAACTCTGAACCTTGTGCTTGGTAGGCAGGCAGCAGAACCACTGAGCTAAGTCCCCAGTCCTAATCAATATTTTTTATAATAAATTCCTTAGCAGCATAGGAGTGTGACAGATCTACCGAGTGAAATAGGTCTTGTTAATGTTTGACATGTTTAAAACATGTTTGACATATAAAAAGGTATAAGAAAGTATCTGTGATTGAAATATAGGCCTGTATGTACTGAAAATATGGACTGGTAGAGTAAAATTCTAGATTTGAATAAGGAGGATAAAAGACTCCGTTCATTTACTTATTTTACCTTTTCTTTTCCAATAGGAAATTTGAAGTACTGCCTTGTGATTCTTAATCAGCCTCTGGACAAGTGTTATCGTCATCTTTGGAAAAAAGGTGATCTTAGCATTCATACTTCTTTGCTTTTTATTCTATTTGAGACTAAATAACATGGGCTTAATGTAACCCAGAACTAAAAGAAGCACCAAACAGTGGAGTTCATAATAAGACAACTCAGTTATTGAGTTATCAGCGGAATTTCATACTACTTCTCTATTAGTCTGTTAATATATGTGATTTTTCACATTATGAACCTTCAAGGACAGAATCATGTATTTCACAACTAGCATGTGGGTATTTATCTCAAATAATAAAGTCCTTGTTCAAGTGTTAATATTTTTAGCATCAGTAATGGCAGAAAGGCCTTCATGTACCTTAATTGTCCTAGCATCTACTAATAGAGTATCTGTATGATGATCACATTAGCAAAATTAAAAATAAGGCATGTTGCAAATATATTAATGTCACTACACATGTTGAAAAACATAGTTACAAATGAAGTAGTTTGACAGAATTAACACTTCTAGGAGGTTTCATGTGAGAAACAGACATTATTAACTATTCATATTTGACTTTATAGGATTAATTATATGTTGGAAAATAACATTAAGTATCACTTGCTGTTTTTAGTCACTACTGTTTCTTCTTCCATGAAATACGGAGGGATTTTTTTCCCCAAGAAATACTTTGCATACTTATCAGTGTTTTTCACTAAAATAGATGGGCAGAACTTGATTCTTGGCTAGATTGATGTATATTTCTGGTGCTGTTCTTGATCTTTTATCATTGCGGCACTTTTTAATATTCTCCACATTAAGGTTATGTACCATGAAATGCAATCCTAATGTGTTAATAAGATCATATCTGTAGACATGTAGTTGTAATACTAGAAGGAATAAATTATTGCAAGTGATGTTATATATTTATTGTCCAGTATGATTGTGAAGAAAAATCTTGATTTTCTACATGTAGCTCTCTTTAAGTTAGCCCACTTACAATTTAACATTATAATTGTACTAACATTGTGCTCAGGGGTTTGAAAATTATTTAATAGTCAACTTTCTTAGTACTTACTAATAATTAGATAATTGTTATAGCATAAGGTGGGCCTTAAAGTCTTTTTCTTTTCTTTCTCTTTTTGTCACTTTTTCTCTAGTGCCTAGTCCAGTGTGTGGTACATATTAGTGCTTAGTAATTACAGTAAATTAGTCAATTTAATATTGTCATATTGCCAGCAAATACTAATGAACCAATTAGGCCCACCCTTTCCTTTTTAGCTACCTTATTATAACAGATTTTATTATAGTATTGTTAGAACAGGTGAGAGACTTATTGGAAATACTAGAAATGGACAAAATGATCATTGATACAAACTTTTGGAAGCCTTGCAGGATCTCTATGTGGGGATTAAAGGCCTTATTTTATATGTAGGCTAAATGATACAGATTTTTGAGCCAAAGTTCCCCATTTGATTTTTTTTTTTTTGCAATGACTTAGATTTGAAAATGTCTCATGCCCAATGACATCAGTCATTTGATTTGCATAAAAGTGAAGCTTGTTCAGTCTGTAAATAGCGGACTAAAACTGAAGTGGCAGTTGTCTTGACGTGATTACTTAATTGTCATAACTGAGATAAGTTTTTTTTAGTTTTTAAAATGTTAAGTCCTTTGATATGTATACTTCTAGGGTGATTCTTGTCTTTCTGGAGTCATTAACCATTGTAAGAAGCAAGTATGTTAATATATTTTAGAGAAAGATGGACCAGGATTTTTGAATCTCATAACAAAAGCTATGGTTTTTTCATTTGAGGTGTTCCCTCTTGTGTTCTTTTCTGCAAGTAAAGGCCATAAAATAGGAAAACTCTGAAAAGCTTGAGCTGATGATTTTAATATGTGAGAAAGAAAGCTTAAGAAAAGCACTGAGAGTTGGGAGGGGAAATAGTATCTAGCTTGGGATACCAGGCAGTAAGTAAAGGCCCCAGGCGCTGTCCCTGTTCCCGTTAGCCCATATGCCCAGCATTTTTTGTAACTTCTGTTCCATGATTGCTAAGATTTTTTGAAGTACAAACATGTAGGGATGGAAATTGGGGTGTTAAACTAAAAATTTAAACAGGAAAATTCAAAAGCTGTTTTGTATAAGTCATAAAATTAAAAATTTATCTTTATCCTATGTGTATGATTTGAACTAGATTTTTTCTGAGATTCAGGTGAAAGACTACCTTACTTTGAAGGTTTATTTTTTTAGTTTACTCTTGAAATATTTAGTTGACATTAGTTATGAAATTTGGTTTAAATGCTTAAGGAAAGGGCTCAAGGGCGATTAAAATTTTAGAGGTTTTAAATGTATTTTCCATTTTATATATCATGAAATTTTGATGGTTTTCTTGGTTAGAGGTCTTAGAATATATCTCACCATGTTCCAGCATTTTGTAGATTATATTTAATTTGTACATTATAAAGTACTTAAGTAGACAAGTAGAGGGATGAAGAGCAGTATAATGAGCATCTACCTTTTCTGTAAATAGCAGAGGTTTTTGAATTTTGTAATGGATGTTACTCTCATATTTCTTAAGCATTTTCCAATTAGATTTTCCATTATAGTAAATGTCTATCACTGAGAAAAAAAATGTAATGCATGAAAATCATAGGAATGCTGTGTTTGAAGCACTCTGTTTATTTATTCTTGGAGGTCAGTTATTTTCAATTGGTGTTACCATGGTACAAAGGTTCTCAAAATTAGTGGTAGATGTTTCTGACCTACATAAATTTAAAACTCAGAAAACAAATAGACCCAACAAATGTACATTAATCTGGAATTAAGTTTATATGGATCAACTGTATTTCAAGTTTTTGAGAGTTTGGCATCTTAAAACATATCTTCCATTTTAGCATGAGGTCACAACTATTCTGTCCTTTTTCCATGCCATCCACAGAAGAGTAGTGATCATGTTGTAAAATGATGATGAGGATTTGTTAACATCAAGTGCTTTTCCCTCTAATAGGAGATTATTTTTCTTACCTTGATTTTTTTCTTTTCAGTTCTTTGGTAATCATCCTTAAGATCATTCCAGGGTGTGGACCGCCTGCTTTAATTAATTTTTGTTGTATGAAGTCATTAAATACTTGACTAAGCAGGCATACCTTATAGATAAAAGCAATTACAATTGGCATCTATGAAATGTAAGCAAGATCTTTGGTTTTATGCCATCAATTTGGGGAGAAAAAAGATAGTAAGAGGGTATAACATGCTCTTCACCACTTCACTGGGGGAGGAGATGTTTGATTACAATCTGGTCTCCACTCACTCTATGGTTTGAGTTTGCTTCTGATGTTTGGAACAGACTGAATGGAGGGGACATGAGAAAAAGCAAAGATAGAAACACTTGTTAAAGATGGCAGGAGAGGAGCTAGCAAGGAAGGAAATGGTCTGTGTTTCAACCATGTTCAAGAACTGACCAGTATGAAGTCCTTGACAGAATCTATGGAGGTGCAACAGTGACACCTTCAAATAGGGTGTCATTGTTACCTAAGCATTTGTCATGAGTGTGGCTTTTAGTAATCTGCTAGCTGTGACTATGTGGATAGGTAGAGTATCACTGGAACTTCAGTCATTTAAATGGATTCTGGGAAATACTCAGCAAGTCACTTCAGGTGGGCAATATGAGACTTTAGGATAGCATAGCAGAATTTCAAGTAGGATGATCCAGGAGACATCTGTTCCAGTAATGATCACCTTGGTGTTACAATTAAGAATTCTATAGTAGTTAGGCTTATCATGGTTTTATTGAGCTATGAAATTGACACTATTGTGTCCCCTTCTGTGTTTAGTGTTTCACAGAACTTATCCTTTGAGCACATTTTAGTGAGCATTGAGCCAGAAATCCGATGAGCACTTTGCATACTTGGTTCAGGTCCATTGAACAAAGCAGTTATGTAAAGTCTGTGCTTTCTGTAAATAAGGCTGGCAGACAAGATCTGCCTCGGGCTCACAGAAATGTTCAGGGGACTACAAGAAAGATTTTAATGCAATAATGGTGTAGAGCCCAAGATTTATTCTTTTTTTTTTTTTTTGGTATCAGGGATCGAACTTCAGGGCCTTGCGTTTGCAAGGTAGGCAGCGGCCCTACTGAGCTAAATCCCCAGCCCAGATTTATTCTTTAATAGGTTAGATACATTCTGTTTTTCTCACCAACTCATGATCATCTCATCAAGATGATAGTTCATTTCTGCGAATTAGATCTTTAATCATTTTGGGTATGATAATAAAAATATTGTGAATTTTTTAGAAGTGCTGTGTTATTTCCAAGGATCAACTGAGATGAGGAAGAATGACATAATTTTTGTGTCATTTCTGCTCATGTTCCTTTATCACAATTAAGTAGTAATTCTCCTTTTAAGTGTATTTCATCCACAAATTTCTTCCATTAACTACCACTGTATGCTTTCAATATGTTGTGAACTTAGAATTCTCTTTCAAATAAATGTATTAATTCTTTTAGTCAGCATTTATCACTTAAAGAACAACTGTGGTGCACCTGCTAAATATACCAGCAGCCAACACGTGGACAGTGTTTACCATGTGTACCTACTCTATTCCCATCCAGACATGATTAAGCTGAGATACTGAAAGTTTCAGTGACCTATTCAAGTTCACAATTCTAGTAAAAAGACAAGTTAGGAATTTATACTTGAGTAAGTGATCCAAATAGTCTATCTATGTAGGCTGTGCTGGGTATATATGTTCGGTGACTTTAGCACCTGTGCTAAGACTGATATTGTGAATGTAAGTGGTACATTGATAAGGGGTGGACAGACTTTTCCTGTGAAGGCCAGATAGCTATTTTTGGCTTTTTGGGCCACATGATCTCTGTCACAACTCTTCAGCTTTGCTGTTGTGTAAAGACAGTAATAGAAAATACATTAAAGAGTTGATGTGACTGCATTCCCAAAATACTGAATTTTCAAAATAAATAGAGGATTGGATTTGGACCATAGTAGGTAATTTGCTGACTTTTTTCTCGCTAATCTATTTTAGTTACCGGCTAGTCCTTCCTACTT